CATGAGATGCCTTTGATCCCAAAAGTATCACCAGCAATAGTACCAAAGATGCCTGGAGAAAAGACATTTCCTGTATTGTAAAGGAAAATTATCTTGTGAATGGGTATTCTACAGATTCAGAAGTCTTATTAGGTAACTGCTTTATTCTCAGACTGAGGCAGAATCATTTCCTGTAACAAGTTTTCCAGTGTAAAATTTAATTATTGAGTCATTGGCTTGTACCATTTCTCTTGTGATTATTCCAAAGAATAATAGACTTACAAGTGAGGAAGTTTTACACATATTCCAACTATATTTTAGGCCATTACACCTAATTCTAGTGCACTAAATAATTTCTTGTGAAGGGCTGACCCTCTGAATATTGCAGACTAGTATCATCTTGCAGTTAAATTATACATCTTTAGGTCTTCCAGCCTATCACCATAACTGAGAGTATTTCTCCAGTTCCCTTTTCAATTTTTAATTTATTTCTATTAAGATTGTGGAGTTAAAAATGAGAAATCTTTCGTTTAAACGATCAGTTGCAGAAACCATGTAAGAGCTCCCAAGCATGATTCTGCCCAGAGGCAGAGACCAGGCATGTATTTGAAATACCAACAAACCGTTCTTTAAAAAATATCTGGGAAGGCAATTCTGAAGACATAGGTTAGAAGTCATTGTATGGGTCTTCTTCTGCTCCCTGTATTTGCCAATATCTTCCTGATAATGAAGTGAGGCCAGTATGAGAAAAGTCATTGCCTCTTTCCTCTATGACAAGACACTATTATTTATGAAGCACTAAATTAAAATGGACTTTTTAACATACATTCATGTCTAATGAACTAGTCTATAAAGGCAATACCCTCTTCTCTTTTAAATCCCTCATTAAAGGCCACTTAACACTAATTATTTGTACCACTATAGTACCTAGCTGGCCCAATAATAAATTAGGTATTTCACGTACTAGGTGTCTCATTCCAGCATTCCTTGCCATAGAGACTGTGTTGCTCTGATAGAAAAGCTAACAACAAATGGGAGTGGATTAAGCACAGGGGAAAATACAGTAATGTCTTACAAATTAAGGAGTTTCTCATCTCGGGCTTTTTTTCACTATCTTCATCACAAACTGCATCATGGAATTTTACAAAGAAGAACACATTAGAAAACCCCCAAAGCCCATTTCATGTTAGTGGCATTTCAGACCTTATGAAGATTTGCACTTCAGCAAACTACATCGACAAATCTACCTGAGACTCAAACATGGTTCCAAACATAGTCCTCCTGAGTTCCACATGTAGCTGGTGGGAAATCCTGGCCCTCAAGGTCCCTTTTAGGCTAGGATGCTTTCAGATGCAGCAGTTCCAGGGCTTCCCGTGTCTATGGCATTAACCAGCTGCTATGTGATTTGTTTTAAATTGGGAACTCCACAAATCTGGGCTAACCCAGTACTACACAGTCTCTAACACTGGAGTCCCTTTGGCTATTTGGACGTGTTTCTTATTTCTGCTTAAATGCCACTTCTTCTTCCAAAAATTCTAGGAAAGGAGAGTGAAAACCCCTAATCTTAGTTCTATTTTAAAATAACATCCATTGCCTTAACTGCTGTTTGGCTTGAATAATTTAGAGCAGAGCTGAAAATCAATTTTATGAAACAGAGGAAAAGACCCTGAACATTTTCAATCACTCTCCTATTTTCCTCCACCAAGCAGTAATCCTATCAACAAACATAGATTTTAAAAAAGTGAAATTTTTGGCACCACTAATTAGAATTTTTTTCAGTTTTTAAGACACAGTCGATCATAAGAACAAGAATAATTGACAATTGAGGGCTTATTCATGCCAGATCTCAACAATTTACATCCATTTCAGGAAAGCAATTACGCATATACTTAAAATTTAAGCAGTTGAGGAGCCCAAAGTATAGCAAATTTATAATACCCTTGTAAAAGCACCTCATATGCTAAGGGACATTCTTCTAAAATCCTTGCTTTAAATCCGATGTTTAGTTTATTAATCTCCATAATATAGACCATTCAGAGATATTTTATAAATGTAACATGAAGAAAAACTTACATATTTTTTTCAAAGTTGTCAACCAAAAGACACCACTTTTCAAACCTTGTTTTGCCTGTGTACCAGCAACCACACTACTGTATATATATTTGCCTATTTCATCTAAGCAACATTCACAATGTGAACCCAAAATTCCCTCTTTCACAGCCATCTCCATTAGTCTGTGGACCATTCTGAATGGCTGCTAACTAGATGGGAGCAACATCATCATGTCAGCCTCCCAAAGTATCACCGCCAGAAATCATCATACCCCCAAGCTGGGGGGGAGAGGAGATGAATGGGAGGAAAGTCACCTGTTGCAAGCCCCATGGCTGCTGGGTGTATGGGGAGTACATGGGCCCCAGCAGACGAGAGTGTGGCTGAGCTAGCTATACCCTGAAGTGCAGAAAACAGATACTGCAGAGGCCGTGGCAATATTTGGCACTTACTACTTTTGCTGCAAGCTGGCACCAAACAAGTATGTTATCTACAAAGCAGGTTAACTCTTTATAAAGTCGTTGCAACTTGCCAAAATAAAAAAAAAAGTCAAAATATAACTCATAAAAACTCCAGGTACTATCTTCTTTTGTCTAACTCCTATATTTCTACTTGGTGGTCTTTGCATTTGTGTTTTTACTTAAAGAATGCCTCTTCAGAATACAGTCTCTATCAGTTCATGACAAATGGAAAGGCATTTATTCAAGATTCTCTTGCATAAAAGCACCACTTAATGAAGAAAACAGTATTTCTTTGCATACAAAGGAAAATAAAAACAACAAATCCAATTCCTTTTTTAAAGTCTCCTTTGAGGACACGTATATGTCTGAGCCCAAATCTAAATCTTATAATCTCTTTGGAAGGGTTATATCAGAGCTTCTTATCTTATTTGCAGAGTATGCCAACATCTACTTCACTTAAACACATGAAAATTCTAAATAGAAAAGTCAGGAAAAAGTGATTTTTATCACCAAACTCTTTTTGTGATAGCACTTAAAACCTTTAAAATATAATGTATCCATCTCCGACATACCTTTTTAGGCTATCAAGACAAAATAGCTTGGCTGACTTGTTTTTCAGAAGCTACAAGGCAACCACCTGACCCACTCCACTATCAGCGGTAAAAATTCCCCTGATTCTACATGAGATTTTTGTCTCAGAATGTCCTTTAAAACACCTCAGAATTTATTTAAATGAAAGTCTCACCTCATACATCTGAGCATATTAAATGAAATGACGTTAATGTTCTGTGCCTTTTTAATTTCATACTTAAATTAACATAACATTGGCATTAGATTTTTTCTATTTCACATTACATTCACATTTCACATACAACTTGTGCTGGAACAGTGCAAGGCAGAGAGCACTAGCTGAACAAAACAGTCCACATAAAAGTTTGGGGTTTTTTTCCTTGCTTCTAAGACATTATAATAAAAAGATGGAAGTAAAACCAGATTAACCCATTTGGTCATCTTTAATAAAATTATTTTTTATTAAATTCACAAAAGTTCAATGTCTTTCTAATCTTGAGGGACAGCCCTAACCACACTTTTTGTTGCCTCTTTCTAACAGCATCTGAGGAGTACTTAAAAGTAAACAGAAATGATGCAAAGGGAATCCCTATAGCAGAAATTAAGAAATAAAATACAGGGATTAACCTCCAGCCTTATGTGCCTTTATCTCTTCTCTGCCTTGCAACCAAAGGGAGACTAACCATTAAAAAAGATTAAAGGTATTAATTAGACTAAGAGATAGAAACCTATCACCCTTCTGTCAGACCAGACAAGAAAGAAACCTTCTTCCAGATTGAATTAAAAAAAATCTATATTTTTAGAATTTGTTCAAAACAAAAGTCTTGTTGATCAGCTTTCTGAATTCCTATTGTTGTCTAACAGATTAAATAAATGAGCCTGACACTGAATAAACATTTTGATGAATTTGTGTGTGAGTGGCAGAACCACTGCTTCCTCCTCATATCAAAGTAGTAACATTATATGCAAATAAATATAATTCTGTTGGGATTTCATAAATCTACGTAAATAAAACAATGGGAGAATAGGAACAGACAACCCCAACAACTTGAACTTTGCATTGCCTTTTTCTTTTTTTCTCTCCAAAATGAAGAACCCACACAGTATATTTAAACTATGTAAAAAGGATTCTAAATACCCTTTGTGGCACCAACAGATATTATACCAAACTGCAGCTATACGCCATGTCTAAAGGGAGATTAGACATCTTTTAGAATAAGTTGCCAGTAGATTACAAAATATTAAAGACAGAAGACTAGTAAAGAGAGCATAATTTTATCCAAGAATAACCCATTTTTTAATTTTTTAAACTTGTGTATGGTTATTTTTTTAAGTCACATGGATTAAAAAAAATTGCAGCTTTCAATGAGACATCCTTTATAAAAAGAAGAGATGTTAATAAAATACATTCATCTCATCATATGTTAAAGGTGACCCTGTTAGAAAAATAGATTATGATGAGGTTTGAAAATGATCATGGGCTATATTAAATAGCTCTATTTGAAATATGTTAAAGTCAGCTGCTAAACAGCAAATTGAAAAAAAATTATATTAAAGGTCACAATCAAATAAATACTTTGGACTCATAGTACCAGTTAGTGAAAGATAAACTGCCGCTTTACAAAAAAGTGCTCTTTATGTGTATATATATTCACACATATATATACACACACACAAATATTGAACACAGACTCACAAACAAAATATTCATACTTAACTACCATTTTATTTTCCCTTACTGCGTTTGGTATGTACCTGGAGTAATCACCCGGAGAGAAAGTACACTGGATTCACAACACTCTAAGTGGCAAAAGTTTGGCTACCAACATTAAATGCTGAATATTGTTATTTAACAGCTAATCAGACAACATTTTCAGAAAAATTAAAGTAGAAAGAAGAAGAACACAAGAAGAACGGATTCCAGTGCGATTTAGCCATTGAATCGCTTCTCGGCCTTTTGGCTAAGATCAAGTGCAGTAATTGTTCTTATCAATTTAATATCTGATATGTCCTCAATTAGAGGACTTTATATTAAATGGAATTTTGGGACTGGGAGTTGGATCCAGAGCTTCCTTTTTTTTCTTTTTTTTTTTTTTAAGTTCCTGACAACTGGAAAAAGGGAAATACAACCCCCATTTTCAAGAAGGGGAAAAGGGATGACCCAGGGAATTACCAGTCAGTCTCATCTCCGTGCCTGGCAAAATCTTGGAGCAGATTCTCCTGGAAGGTATGCTGAGGCACATGAAAATCAACAAGGTGCTTGGTGACAACTGCACTAACTGGAAATCCTGCCTGACCAATTTGGCGGCCTTCTATGATGGGGCTACAGAACTGATGGACAGCAGTAGAGCAGTTGATGTCATCTACCTGGACTTGTGTAAAGCGTTCGACACTGTCCCACACGACATCCTTTTCTCTAAATTGGAGAGACATCAATTTGATAGGTGGAGCACTCGGTGAATAAAGAACTGGCTGGATGGCTGCACACAAAGAGTTGTGGTCAATGGCCCAATGTCCAGTAGGAGACCACTAACGAGTGATGCCCCTCAGGGATCGGTGCTGGGGCCGGTCTTGTTCAACATCTTTGTTGCTGACATGGATGGTGGGATTGAGTGCACCCTCAGCAAGTTTGCTGATGGCACGAAGCTGTGTGGTTAAGTTGATACACTGGAGGGAAGGAATGCCATCCAGAGGGTCCTTGACACGCTTGTGAGGTGGGCTGATGCCAACTTCATGAATTTTAACTATGCCAAGTGCAAGGTCCTACACCTGGGTCGGGGCAATCCCAGACACAGCTACAGGCTTGGCAGAGAAGAGATTCAGAGCAGCCCTGTGGAGAAGGACTTGGGGGTGCTGATCAATGAGAAAATGAACATGATCTGGCAGTGTGTGCTTGCAACCCAGAAAGCCAATCGTATCCTGGGCTGCATCAAAAGGAGTGTGACCTGCAGGTCGAAGGAGGTGATCGTGCCCCTCTACTCTGCTCTCATGAGACCTCACTTGGAGTATTGTGTGCAGTTTTGGTGTCCTCAACATAAAAAGGACATGGAACTGTTGGAACAAGTCCAGAGGAGGGCCACGAGGATGATCAGGGGACTGGAGCACCTCCCATATGAAAATCGGCAGTGAAAGCTGGGGCTGTTCAGCCTGGAGAAGAGAAGGCTGTGTGGAGACCTCATAGCAGCCTTACATTATCTGAAGGTGGCCTATAGGGCTGCTGGGGAGAGACTCTTCATTAGGGACTGTAGTGACAGGACAAGGGGTAATGGGTTAAAACTTAAACAGGGGAAGTTTAGATTGGATATAAGGAAGAAGTTCTTTACTTTTAGGGTGGTGAGTCACTGGAATGGGTTGCCTAGGGAAGTTGTGAATGCTCCATCCCTGGCGTTGTTCAAGGCCAGGCTGGACAGAGACTTGGGTGGCATGGTTTAACGTGAGGTGTCCCTGCCCTGGCAGGGGGGTTGAAACTTCATGATCTTAAGGTCCTTTCCAACCCTAAATTTTCTGTGATTCTATGAATGAACCTCAGTATTTAATGTACATTAAATATCAATAACTGAATGGGAATGATCTTTTCTAAATGTTTTAGTTTCCAAACCAGACAAGCAGTGTTCTATGAAATCACTGCAACATAATTTGAAACTGTTGGGGGGGTGGGGGAGAAATCCAGTTGTGTGGATTTTTTTGGGATGATATTTTCTAAGATAAGGATTTGCTCCCATGGCTCTATTCCCTGACAGATGAAACTAAAAATTAAGCAACAAAATTCTGCAAAGTTCTTGCTCTAAACATTAAGCAAAATTTTATTAATGGTCTGACAGTACAGCAGTGTATTAGCAATTTTAATAAAGACATCCAAATCCTGACATGGTAAAAAATAACACTTTTTTTTTTTTTAACTTATAAGGTTAGTCCTAAAATTAGTCGAGTGGAGATTTAAAACTAAATAGTGCTGCTGATACACAAAGTTACAAAATAAAATGTAAATTTAAAAAAAAAAAACAAACCAAAACTATAACTTTCAGGAGTATTAGACAAACGGGCATTTTTGAAGGTAGATATATTTTGTTTGAGACTTTACGGGCCACATCACAGATCTTTCACAAGTGTTTTTTTTGCTTCCACAGATATATGCAAAATAATTCTTTGAGTCTTTTTCAGTATACTGAAGCCTCTGACCAAGGGCAGAGTCCTGCAGTCAGTGTGATTTCATGCACACTCTTTGTCGTTGAAGAACATAATGTCCAAGAACTTTTATCAGTGCTCTCAACGTTCCCTATAAAAAAAACTTCATTAAAATAACATTATATTATCATTACAAGACTTTCCATGTAAAGCCAGGATGCCTGCTTCACCTCACCCTTAGGCATTTGCCTGGCCAGTCCCAGCAGCTTCAGCACTTCCACTGGTGCATATGGAGGCACTCAGTTTAGTGCTTTGCTCATCTTGTGCTGAAGACACCAGCTCCATTTTCCACTCCAGAGCCCTTATTCAAAGTGTCTCCATCCTAGTCCCAGTCTCCTGCTTCAGGCTGCATGGACTTGCCAAGGGTTCCCTTGAGATCACATGGGGACAAACCCTTTGAGACACCATCCCTGCACTCAGCACAGCCCACTGTGGCCACTGTTAGAACTGGGAGAAAACCCCACGAGAGGAAACTCAGGCTCCTCATAGGCAACACTGCTGGTGAAATCCAAGCTTCCTCTACCAACTATGGGTGAGGGTTTTTCCAATGGCACACAAATTGGCAAAACACAAGGGTGGCAAAAAGCACAGAAAGCTCCTCTCTTCTAAATGCCTTGCTCCAAAGCAGAGGGATGTTTGAGCTTTTCAAAGAATAAAGTACCAGAAATTTCCTTTGTTCTCTTGTACAGGGTTAAAAGGTTATTTCTGCTGCTTTTCAAACCTGCTTACTGAAAATAACCAGAACTTTTTTTAAAGGAACATCAAGAGAAAGAGACAATAAAGGAATGAAATCTGCTGGAGCAAATCCCCGTTAGGAAAATTTTGAACCCATGTAGTTAAAATATGGCAAGCTGAAACATTTTTTTACAATATGAATTATACCTAATACAAAATATCAAACAACCCAACATCTATGCACATGTTCCAGCATCTATGTTGAACAGCACTCAAGGACAGCACCAATCTGGCTTTGGCTCTCTCTTTAGTACTCCAGGGCCAGGGTAGGGGTATCACCATGACCCCAGACAAGGCTACAGCTGTTGGAGAGAAGCCTTAACCAACATATTACTAGGCAATAACACCAGCAAGAAATTTGTGGATGTCCTCAGATCAACATTCTTCTGCCCACCAGCATTTCTCACAAGTAAGTAATTCAAGGTGTTACCACACAAGTCTGAGAGGAAGTTTTCTGGAGAACCAGAAAAGCAGGTTGCAATACCAGGGCCACTTTTAGTATGTAAATGCCAGACATCACATACATGTTGAAAGAATGATTAAAAAACAATGCACATAATAAAAACAGTGACCCAAAGCACAAGTCTTCCTTGCATAGTGAAGATTAACAGTCTTTCCTATAATCAGGGGCTTTCTATAGACTTTTTTCTTGGGTTAAAAAAAGATCATAATATAAATTAGAGAAGACAGAGAAAATACCTAATTTACTATAAGATATACACAAGTCTTTATTTCAAATGTGAGAACAACTACAATGTTCTGCATTGGTATCATTAATACCTCTTTTCTTGATGCTTCTGTGCACTTAGTGCAATAAGAAATTGTGCTTCTTAATAAAACTGTAACTTTCTCAAAAAAAGTTCACTGAAAAACTGATATATGAAAAGCCTTCCACCCTTCATACAAACTATGGACTTTCTTTTGTTCTTGTTATAATCAGAAGGGGCTTTGTTTTATCTTCTGTGGAACAAGAAGTTTTCATTTCCGGATTTCATAACATTTACAAAACTATCCCCTCTCAGTATTATCATCTGTTAAAAGGAAATAGTTGAATATGGTGGCCTTTTATGATGGGGCTACAGAACTGATGGACAGCAGTAGAGCAGTTGATGTCATCTACCTGGACTTGTGTAAAGTGTTCGGCACTGTCCCACACAACATTCTTGTCTCTAAATTGGAGAGACATCAATTTGATAGGTGGAGCACTCAGTAGATAAAGAACTGGCTGGATGGCAGCACACAAAGAGTTGTGGTCAATGGCTCAATGTCCGCTGGAGACCTGTAACGAGTGGTGTCCCTCAGGGATGGGTGTTGGGACCGGTCTTGTTCAACATCTTTGTTGTTGACATGGACGGTGGGATTGAGTACACCCTCAGCAAGTTTGCCGATGGCACGAATCTGTGTGGTTCGGTGGATACACTGGAGAGAAGGAATGCCATCCAGAGGGACCTTGACACGCTTGTGAGGTGGGCTGATGCCAACCTTATGAAGTTTAACCATGCCAAGTGCAAGGTCCTACACCTGGGTCGGGGAAATCCCAGACACAGCTACAGGCTTGGCAGAGAAGAGATTCAGAGCAGCCCTGCAGAGAAGGACTTGGGGGTGCTGGTCGATGAGAAAATGAACATGAGCCAGCAGTGTGCGCTTGCAGCCCAGAAAGCCAACCGTATCCTGGGCTGCATCAAAAGGAGTGTGACCAGCAGGTCGAAGGAGGTGATCCTGCCCCTTTATTCTGCTCTCATGGGAACTCACTTGGAGTGTTGTGTACAGTTCTGGTGTCCTCAACATAAAAAGGACATGGAAGTGTTGGAACAAGTCCAGAGGAGGGCCACGAGAATGATCAGGGGACTGGAGCACATCCCATATGAAAATCGGCAGAGAAAGCTGGGGCTGTTCAGCCTGGAGAAGAGAAGGCTGCGTGGAGACTTCATAGCAGCCCTCCAGTATCTGAAGGGGGCATATAGGGATGCTGGGGAGGGACTCTTCATTAGGGACTGTAGCGATAGGACAAGGGGTAATGGGTTCAAATTTAAACAGGGGAAGTTTAGATTGGATATAAGGAGGGAATTCTTTCCTGTTAGGGTGGTGAGGCACTGGAATAGGTTGCCCAAGGAGGTTGTGAATGCTCCATCCCTGGCAGTGTTCAAATCCAGGCTGGACAGAGCCTTGGGTGATATGGCTTAGAGCGAGGGGTCCCTGCCCATGGCAG